GACGGACGCAAAGTGATGAGCAAAGCTCATTTGATTTCCCTGACCCAGCGTTATCTCATTCGTCATAGGGCCATTTTGTAATGTAATGTCATGTTTACACCAACCAATCAACCAGGTCGACGATATACTTTCCTGAGTTCACAATATTACGAATATATGAAGCTTTTTTGTTGGGTTGTTGTCTATTTCACGTATACCCTCAGTCTTATTGTAAGAATTTTTAAAAAGTTGCATACACAATTGTGTTAAAGAATTATGTTTCATACACAGACTAAACGTTATAATTTTCTATAAATGTCGTATTATCTTATATGGAAATAGCGTTATCTGGTCAACATCTGAACCCCTAAAGGACGTAGTAACTGTAACCAAAATTGTGTAAAAAGAAAAGGAAAGCTTCGTATTGTCTTTTAGATTAAGTTTTAATCATGTTGGTTAGCACCACTTTCGACATCAAATTTGTCAAATATCGTGTAAAAGAGGTAAGGCCTATTTTTCCTGAAATGGATTCATACGAGGACAATTTTCCTAAAGTCTTTCGATCTTTTCTTAGATTCATAGTACCTCAGCCCATTGCTTACGCTTTGAGGTTTTTACAGTTTATTGGTTGCATTTTAGATATATCACCAAATCATAAACGCTTAAAGCTTAAACCTTCGATTTTGTGAGATTTTGGCAAACCCAAACATAAAGGAGAAATACATGGCGGTTAACCACTACCACAATTCTGTTGAAATTAAGGCAATCATTGATTTTAGACTTTTTTTATATTCAGTTTTAGGTAGAATAACGAAATATATAGAATAAATTGTAAAATATTACCCTTGTCAGTGAACTGAATACAAGGGAAAGTGGCTCTACCCCTGTGTAATTTTGTATCATACTGTCTACAACAGCAACAAATAGCGCTGATTAACATTTTGATTTATGGAAAATAAAGAATTATGAATCAGTATCTTACTCTGTACGTTATTGATATAGATTCTTCTAAATTTAATTTCCAGTAGAATTTGAAAATGGAAATACTCTTTAAGAGAATACACATATCCGTCTTAAAATCACCAATGTCAATTTAAGGTTGACATCCCACTTCTTAATCAGCAATCAACATTGATCGCGTTTAGAACTGACAACCTACTGGAGCCTTTTTATGACCTCAAAAAATACACATTTGAATTCGAGATCACAAATCTTAGTCGTTATCACGAATTGAAGAATTCGTTATTACTTTTTAAATTCGTGACAACGAATTTTCTGAAATTTGTTATGACAGTTTTTGTAATTTATTATAAAAATCGGCGATAACGAATTTAATTCGAAATCACGTTTAACAAACAAAAAAAAATTATTACCAAGCAAACCGATTCTTTATCACGAATTTAATCTGTTACACAAATTATACAATTTGTTATAACGATTTAAAACCGTTATCACGAATTACAAAAATCGGTGATAACAAATAACACACATTCGGGATAACGAATTTAATTCGTCGTTATGACATTTTTAATCCGTTATCATGAATTACAAAAACGGATATAACTAATTCCATTAACTCGTGATAACGAATTTAATCTGTGATAGCGAAGTAAACCATTCGTGATAACGGTTTCAATTCGAGATATCGAATTCAAATTATATTTTTGGACTTCTGTAACAACCGTGTATATTATACATTCCTCATCAAATACCCTCATATACAAATAAACATTAGGAAATGAGACAAATATGGCACTCATACCACATCTTCTTATATCTATATATGACGTGCAATTAAAGGACAACTGCTATGATATCTTTCAAATCCAAATGAGAATATGTAAGTTGCATATGAATTTTCCAAAGAAGCGAAGGATAATTAGCATAGTTCAACATTGGAGAAATGACTCAAGTTTAACGTTAATAACAATATCATATCCAATGGAACCTCAAAACAAGTTTATATCCTAAATAAGTATGCATTATCAGAAGTTCTTTACTAGGAATTATATAGTAGGTTAATAAGTACCCTTTCAATTGTAGACTTAAGTAAAGTTTATAGAACAAAATGTAAAACAGAAGATTTGATATTTTTCTTTTTCAAATATAATGCAAATAAATAACTTTATTTAATAAACAGAATGAATATAATAGTTGACCTATTCTTTATAACAATACAATATACGTATATAATACAATGTCTCTGGTGTATTAAAGTATTATAAGAACATTAATATTCTTAGAATATCTCGTAATTCAAAAGATGTTTTCTAATAAGTAACTAGTGGTTATATTAAACTGACATGATAACAATCATAAAAGTTACAAATTGAATATCAGCTGATTTACTTTGAACATAGTTTAAGTCCAAATTACACGATTACGTATAAACACACAATAAGCGCACTTTTTACGATTTAAGATGAATGCACATTTGAGCGCACCTTGAATGGAAAACACAAGGAACGATGAATAATAAGCGCACGTACGGAGAATGTATGATGAGTGAAAAGAACACGTACGGAGAATGTACGATGAGTGAAAGGAACACGCACGCAGAATGGACGAGGAGTGAAAGGAACACGTACGCAGAATGGACGATGAGTGAAAGAAACACGTACACATAGTGGACGATGATTGAAAGGAACACATACGCAGCATGGACGATGAATGAAAGGACAACGTATGCAGAATATACGATAAGTGAAAAAACACGTACGCAAAATGTACGATGAGTGAAAGGAATATGTACGCAGCATGGACGATGAATGAAAGGACCACGTATGCAGAATATAATATAGGTGAAAAACACGTACGCAAAATGTACGATGAGTGAAAGCAACATGCACGCAGATTGTACGATGAGTGAAAGGAACACATATACAGAATATACGATAAGTAAAAGGAACAAATACGTAGATTGTACATATGCAATGAGTGAAAGGAACACAAACATAAAATGGACGATGAGTGAAAAGAACACGTACGAAGAATATACGATGGATGAAAGTAACACGTACGCAGAATGGACGATGAGTGAAAGTAAAACTAGATAATGGACGATGAATAAAAGAAACATGTACGTAGAATGGACGATGAGTGAAAGGAACACTAGAGAATGGACGATGAACGAAAGGAACGTGTACTCAGAACGGACGATCAATGAAAGGAACACGTACGTACAATCGACGATGATTGAACAGAACGCGTAAATAGAATGGACGATGAATGAAAGGAATGCGTATGCAGCAGAGACAATGAGTTAAAAGTACACGTACACATAGTGGACGATGATGAAAAGAACACGTACGCAGCTTGGATGATGAGTGAAAGGAAAACGTATGCAGAATATATGATAAGTGAAAAAACACGTACGCAAAATGTACGATGAGTGAAAGGAACATGCACGCAGAATGTACGATGAGTGAAAGGAACACTTATGCAGAATATACAATAATTCTAAGGAACATGTACGTATATTGAACATATGCAATGAGTGAAAGGAACACGTACGTCGATTGTAAATAATTATGCAATGAGTAAAAGGAACACATGAATGTGCCTGTTCCAAGTCAGGAGCCTGTAATTCAGTGGTTGTCGTTTGTTGCCATGTTACATATTTGTTTTTCGTTCATTATTTTGTACATAAATTAGGCCGTTAGTTATCTCGTTTGAATTGCTTAACATTTATAATTTCGGGGCCTTTTATAACTAACTATTCGGTTTGGGCTATGCTTATTGTTGAAGGTCGTACAGTGATCTATAGTTGTTAATTTCTGTGTCATTTGGTCCCTTGTGAAGAGTTGTCTCATTGGCAAAGATACCATATCTTCTTTTTTTATACATACACGGATTGGACGATGAGTGAAGATAACGTATGCAAAATGGACGATGAGTGAAAGCAAAACTAGATAATGGACGATGAGTGAAAGGAAAACGTACGCAGAATGGACGACGAGTGAAAGCAAAACTAGATAATGGACGATGAATGAAAGGAACACGTATACAGAATGAACGATGAGTGAAAGGAACGTGTACGCAGAATGGACGATGAATGAAAGGGAACGTGCGAACAATCGACGATGAGTGAAATGAACGCGTATGCAGCAGAGACGATGAATGAAAGGAACATGTACGCAGGATAGACGATGAGTGAAAGGAACACTAGAGAATGGACGATGAATGCAAAACACCGCGTACCAACAATCAACGATAAGTGAAAGGAACGCGCAAAGAGAATGGACGATGAATGAAAGGAACACATACGCAGAATGAACGATGAGTGAAAGGAACACGTTTGCAGAATGAACGATGAATTAAAGGAACACGAACGCAGAATTGGCAGTGCATGATGAATGCACTGAACATATGTCATTTTGAATTTCGGAAGGCCTGTAGCAGTGTTTGTCCTGTAATTTGTCACGCAAATAGTTTTACGGATGCTTACTCAGATACTGAGACGTGCAAATACATGTGTTCATGTTAAAAATATGGTGCAATTAGACACTTATAATCTAGATCCTAACATTTATAGCTAAAATACTTTACTGACAAAAATAGATCAATGACACGAATTAATATCAGAAACACGATTTGTTGTTATTTTACCAGACTATTGTTCTGGAATGAAGTTGACAAAAAAGTATATAAGCTTCTTCATCGACAAAATGGGTCACTAATCAGGCGTTTTTTGTTGTTTTTTTTAGGGGTGGGGGTGGGGAGGGGGTGGGCGCAGAGAACCAACATCACATACTTTTAGATTACAAATTGCAATCTACTACATATTCATATGCGGCTGTTTAGTCTTTTGAGTTTTAGGGTCAAGGTAATATAACTATTTGTGTGCTGTTGATTATCATTGTTCATGTATAGTATTCTATTTTATCTCAATTTCGTAAGCACTTGTCTGTGAAAAAGATACTTAACATTATATAAGCATGTCAATATCTGGTTTATTCTGATGCCAGCATGTAGAGCAATAATGATTTGATAGCTCATTCTCCCTCATTATATTGCAGGGTGAGACCCCATACAATCTGGCAGCAAAAGAAGACTGGAATACCGTGGAATACATACAAGATAGGAAGAAAGAAGTAATGGACTACCTGAAGGTATATGCTATGTTTTATTTACCAGTATAATAACTATATTACAAAAAGCAGCCCGAATAGTTACGGGATTACCAACTTACGCTAACTGGAACAGTATCTATGTAGAGACGGGATGGGAAAAATTAAGCGTCAGACGGGAGGTTAAAAAATTAGCTATGTTTTATAAAATTATTAATAACCAAGCGCCAGATTATTTACACGATTTGGTTCCGAATTTGGTATCAGATATTAGTAATTATAATCTGCGTAACAGTCAAAATATTACTATACCTGTAAATCGTTTATCAGCTTATCAACAGTCTTATTTTCCATCGTCTATTACATTGTGGAATTCTTTGAACTTAAGTATCAGACAAATTCCTACATTTTCCCTTTTTAAACTAAATTTGCATAAACTATACTATAGAAATAATAAATCTCCGAGATTTAGTTCATCAGGAGATCGTAGGCATTCTGTTTTACACACAAGGCTGCGTAACAGATTTAGCGCTCTGCATGCTGACTTGTTCAAAGCACATTTGATACAAAAAACCAATTGTTCATGTGGATGTATCAATGAAAATGTCGAAAACTATTTACTATATTGTATTAATTTTTCAACTCATAGAAATCTGATGTTAAACGAAATTAATGTCTTTAATCTCAATATTACTATCGATTTAATATTATTTGGTGATGATGCATTCAGTACTGAAGAAAATGATATTATTTGTTTATCTGTTCAAAAGTATATAAAAATACCGAACGTTTTTCTCTGCATTGACAACCTTAACTCTGTAAACATTACATGTGATTTAAAATATTTCAATATACATGTAATGGCAATAATCGAATGATCTTGATGAATAACTACTGTCATGTTTTGTTATCAATAACGATTCAATGGATTTTAACGAAAGAATATAAAATTAAATTATAAATCAATACTTACCATTATTGTGTAGTTTACATCCTTTCTTTAAACTTTTATATATATATATATATATATATATATATCTCATGCCGAATTATGAGGAACACACACACTTATTAATCTTAAAATTATGTCTACACAAGACAAGATTTGCGCATAAATAATTCCACACTGACAATTCGGTGTGTTTGTTTTTTATCTATATTGTAAAAAGATGCACTCGATTAAAATCCATTGATTCGTTTCAACAAGTTTCCTTTTGTGTTCATGTCTTTATGCTTAAATTATTTGTTAGTATGATGTGTTCATTAATTATATTGTATATTTCGTGTTGTTTTGGAGAAGACGTTACTAAGTTGTGAAACTTGTGTCTGATTCATTTGTCATTTTGAACAATAAAATATGTTTAAATTAAAATTACAAAAAGGTAAGGAAGGAGACGAAAAGGAACATAACTATTTCTATTAACTGGGCTCACAAGAATTAGAGTAGATTATACGACATTATAATATTTTAGATAACAACCCCTAGGACATAAAAAAAATGCATAAAAAGTAAAATCCGTCTAGGATCAACTTTGCTTGATTATATAAATGTTTAACTCAAGTTTAAAATCTCTATCTCAGCCGCACCCTACACATAATTTTTTTTTTTAAATTTACAATCAAGTGGATTTGTAACTTAATTGCAAATGTCACAAAGGGACGGAGCAAAATGTAATGTGGGTCATAGACGCACGTGATATATGTTTGTGGATCGACACCAGTAATTTGTTAAGATATAATGATGAGATGAACATTACTGACGTGTCATCCTCGTACCTTATACAAAAGGCAATACATCTTGTCATATGACCTGACAGTAGTCGACACAACGGGACATTATTAAAGTACATGCCCAATTGTACAAGGCATCACATAGAAAATTATACATTTATATATGTATACAAGTTTAAATACGTGACATTTTTACCACAGACGTTCTCCATCGGATAACCTGTGGTTATACAGGGCTAACACCATAATGTATATATATATATCAGCTATAGTTAGAGGAGGGGATAAGGCGTGTGTGCAATGCTAGGCGGTGTTGTCGTAGAAGTATGAAGTGAAAAGTACAGGTTCCAGACCCAGTCAGGGAGGAAGTAAAGAATCAGATCTACTCTAACATTGTTAGGTTGATTTTCTAGACACTTTATAAATATTCTAACGCCTGGTATTTCATAATCATAATAAATCCGATGGACAAGGTATAATTTACAGTTGTCACTACACATAGGCAAACATACATACATACGATAGATAATTTAGCTAATCTGCAATCAATACCATCTTCATGCCTAATATATCATGTACTGTGTTACAACTCTAGATTCTACTGACGAGGAAAGGTAACACTAGGCCACCGAAAGCTGAATTTTTAGTTCAGTCTAGGTGGCCGAGCGGTCTAGAGCGCTGGACAAAGTGCAGGTGGTGTTGTCGCGATATCCCAATAGCATGAGTTCGAATCCGGGCGAATTTGCAGATTTAACATTGTTGTGCTGATATTTAGAGTAATTATGTATATATATATATAATATAAGTCTAAATTGAAAACAACGTTCAAACCTATGATTGCGTTGGATAAAAACCGCAATTTTTATACGTGTGCATGCAAAACAAATTTCTTGGTAGAGGGGTCTAAATACAGCACAAATAACATTTTCCAAGAGACAAAAAAAGTGAAAAAGTATATTTAAACAAAACGCATTTGACTAACAGGTCGAACAACGGATGTTCTTAAACCCTGTTGACTGCCATTTATGATTGCCAAATAAACGGATCACAAGATGTAACAAAATGGATCTTTATTATTAATTTAATACCAAACAGAAAACAATAAACTTGCGGAAAAGATGGTATACCGCAAACATGAGGTGCAAACATTTGTACACCATATCCGGATTTCGACAATTAATGTCACTTCAGTGATGTTAGGAATTGAAACTGTATTTGGAAGGCCATATAATTTACTTCAATTTAGGATAGACTCTTGAATTTTGAAGAGTCGAAATAGGATGAACGGATCATATAAACCCGAAGGGAAATATAATACAAGCCCAAACGAAAAAATATAAACAAGTCTAAATTGAAAACAACGTTCAAACCTATGATTGCGTTGGATAAAAACTGCAATTTTTATACGTGTGCATGCAAAACAAATGTTTTGGAAGAGGGGTCTAAATACAGCACAAATAACATTTTCCAACAGACCAAAAAATGAAAAAGTATATTTTAACAAAAAGCATTTGACTAGCAGGTCAACAACGGATGTTCTTAAACCCTGCTGACTTCCATGGCGATTGCCAAATAAACGGATCACCAGATGTAACAAAATGGATCTTAGTTATTAATTTAATACCAAACAGAAAACAATAAACTTGCGGAAAAGATGGTATCCAGCAAACATTAGGTGCAAAAATTGGAACACCATATCCGGATTTCGACAATTAATGTCTCTTCAATGATGTATATATATATATATAATCTTATTTTATTATACATGTCTTAACACAAAGCACACAAACCGCTAACTGAAAGATTGTATCTACAGAGGTGTATTATTCTTGTAGCTATAATTTTTTTAATCATTTAAAAGAAAATTTAAGAAACGTCGAAATAAAACACGGATCTTACACTTCATCACGCTTGATATTAAATCTTGATGTTCCTAAAGTTAAAATAGTGGACGCAGCATTTTTGTCTCGCCTTGACAGAGTCAAAAAGCGAGACATAGATATGCTGTTTCCGGCGTCGGAGGCGACGGCGACGGCGACGGCGGCGGCGGTGTCAATAATGTATTAGTTTGTGATTAAGTCTAGTTCATGGTGAACCACTAGTGGTAGGTCAATGATATTTGGTATGCAGTTGTATTAGCATTGGCACATCTCATTACCATGGAGATTATTTGGCCCCGCCCCCTCAGTCAAGGTCTATTGACTTTGAAACTTTTCATAGTTTACATGTATTAGTTTGTGATCAGGTCAATTTATGGGGAACCACTAGTGGTAGGTCAATGATATTTGGTATGCAGTTGTATAAGCAATGGCATATCTCATTTCTATATAGATTATTTGGCTCCGCCCCCTTAGGCATGGTCTATAGACTTTGAAACTTTTGCTTAGTTTACATGTATGAGTTTGTGATTAGATCAGTTTAAGATGAACTGCTAATGTTAAGTCAATGATATTTGGTATGCAAATTTATTGGCATTTGCAAGTATCGTTTCCATGGAGATTATATAGCCCCACCCCTGATCATGGTTCATTGACTTTGAAACTTTTACATAGTTTACAAGTTAATGTTTGTGTTTAGGTTTGTTTAAAGGGAACGACTTATTATAAGTCAATGGTATTTGGTATGCAGTTGTATTATCATTGGCACATCTCATTGTAAAGAGATTGTTTAGCCATGTACCTTCAGTCATGGTTCATTGACTTTGAATATTTGCATAATTTACATGTTAAAGTATTGCTATTTTAATTTCAAAAGAGGGACGAAAGATAGTAGAGGGACAGTCAAACTCATAGATCGACATTTGCATTATCAAAATTACAAAAAGGCGAGACATATCTCTGTGATAACAGTTTATTTAATACTATTAAAGATTAAATGCGCATACGAATCAAATATACCCGTGCATGACCAGAACGCATTCAAAGCTGCAGTAAAGCAACAACTGAAAAATAATGAAATTGATTATTGTATTTGTGATTTAGATTAAAGTAATGCCATGCCGCTTCTTACATGTCTTAAATTTTTAGATTATAATCTAATCGATATACAATTAAAGGACCCCATTAGAAATAAGCGGACATGTTTTCTTTGGAAGAAATTTTGATTTGAGAGAGCAGTTAAGCTTTACAGTATTTGTTTTATTTAATATTTTGAGTAACGCACATTTTTATACTGTACTTGTATACAGTTGATATCGATTGCTACCTTTACACCACTTTTAGGGTAAGGCTCTATATTGCTTTTACCTTGTCAGTCTGTCAAACCATGTGTGTCACATTTTTCAGACACTTCTGTAAAAATTGCTTAATATT